TGTGTGTGTGCGTGTGTGTGTGTGTGTGTGTTGCTGGAAAACATGTATTGCAAGGTTTGAATCAAAACTTTTATTTTATGCTAGAGTACTTGACCAAATCTCAGCAGCCCGAAAAAATAAGACCCTACTCCCACATCTTATTTTGAGGTGGTACATTTCAGCTTGCACATAATGTACAAGTTAAAGAAAAAGCAGAGCAGATAGTCGAGACGGTATTGTGTCATTGGTCATGATGTGAATAGATTACTCTTCAGATGTTTGTATGTTCATCTGATCCCTTAGATGTTTTGTCTTTGGGGTATTGTGTGTGTAAGTATCTGGTTAATCTTGTCTTTACTTGACTGCAGAATTCCAGCATTAAAAATAGCACTCAAAGGTTAACGTATAACTCAAATTACCTTCTAATCTGTAAATCACTTAATGTGTTCTCCTTTGAGGAAGAATCTGAAACTAAAGGGGAGAATTTATGTTTTTTGGTTTCATGATGGCACCCCGGAGTTTTGCCTAAATTCAACAGAAAACCGAAAATTAATCTACGTACTACGTTGATCAAAACCGTATTTTAATTTGACATTTTGATTCATGTCTGCTTTGATTAGATGACTAATGCACAACTTCTTCTACGTAATGGTCATCTGCCCAAGATCCCCCACATCTATTTAACTGGACGGAAATGCTGATACATTTGACAAATCAGCACTACCAGACATAAAGCCCAATGCCTTTGAAGCTGATATTAAAAGTCAATGCAGGGAGGTAAGGGGCTGTGCTACGTGGGTGGAAATAAATAAAATAACATAACAGTGTGTTTCCATGGCAACATGAGATGGGATTATTGTTATGAAAGCCTCTCATGAGGAGTAGAATGAGTCTCAATGGAGGCTCTGAAGTGGGAGCGAAATATCTGGGCCAAATGGAGTGAACCACCTCCGAACCATAATGGGTATTCCCCTGTTTCTAGTCACTGTCCGGTCAGTTTACACCGTTACTGGGAGGAAAGACCTTAAGCTGAATTGTCTCTGAAACATTGTATGAACAATTGGTGGCCATGTGGCCTGACTCTATTATTGTGATATTAAATGAAAATAAATGTGTTTTTGGAAGATGATAGAGGTTGACTATAATAAACATGTACTAATTTTAGGTCCACAGTGATTTGTGGACTAATGGATTAAGTGATCGTCAGAAAAATAATCATCAACCTTTTGGATATTAAAACATTTATAAAGTTAATTTCCATACAAAAATGGCAGAACATGTTGCTGGTTTCACACTTCCTGCTGTTGTCAAACATTTAAACTGAATTTATTGTGGTTGTACTGACAAAACAAGAAATGTAAAGACATCAGCTTGGACTTTGACATATTTTAAAAACTATTTCTTGATTAATCAAGTAAGCCGCAAAATAGTTGTTATTATGGTGACAAACTAGGCAACTATAAAGAAACGCCAGCAAGTTATAGCAGCAAGTGCATACATAACTTTAAGCAAACTTCTATGCCACTTCATGAAAAATGCAGGAACATAGAATAGTTAATGTAGCGAAATAGAAGACTTATTTTCCTTGGTGTGTAGCTGATAAAACTAATATTGCAGAATAAGCATGTGTGAGATCCATCTGTGGTTCCCTTGTGTAGACCTAAGTCGGGCTTCAAAGTCTGCCATGAACCCAAATGAGCCTCAGTAACGAACTTGATAAACCCATGCAAATGAGCCTGGAAGCAGTTGCCACTGATTTGGACAAAATGAACAAAACCCACATAAAAGGAACTAATGGATCACATTAATTAGAATCCCCATTTGCAGCTGACTGAAGAGTTTACAGATAGCAAATGGCCGTTCTGGTAAAGTTTGGCAGTGCTTTCAGAACAATGGCAGCTTTATTTTGCTTTGTCAGGGCAATTCCCTGCTAATAACACTGTATCATCAAATATGAATTAGCTCCATATTAAGATAATTAAGAAGGGGTTCTGTTCGGTTATTATCCTGCTTGGATATATTTGTCAATGATGGCAGTTTGGGTTTCCCAAAAAGAAGAAAGTGTGAGATGTTTTGAGACAACAAGTCTCACACACTTAATGGTGAAAGGTCGGCATATGGTCCCAATGTGCCAGAAATCAACTTTGTAGTGCCACTGAAGCCACGCAGAATAAACACTTAAAAAAAGAGAATAAAATACAAAGGCAAAAACAGATTTGGAGGAACTTTGGATAGATATGCTTTGGAAAAAAGTTGAAAGCCATGGCCCGTATGTCATTGTTTTTCTTGCAAATAAATGCCGTCCCTTTGTTGTATTATTTAAAAAGGAAGATGCATGCACAGTTTATCTTAGCCAAATCGGTGCAGCTGAATCAGGTTGTATTAGGTCAACATCTGGCAAATACTGTTCTGGTAGGCATCAGATTAGTGTGTTGTCGCTTTGCTCTCCGCCCGTCTCTTTCTTCTATGTGGTAGTCTCTTCTTTTTTCTACCTCTGGGCAGTTGTCCAGCTGTCCATGTGTCAATCTGTCCACCACAACCTTTAATAGCTTTCAATCCATGTGACTCACAATCACAGTCCATACAGGACTTTTTCAGAACCTAAATCCTCTCCTAATTTTCCGAAGCCGGACACAAGACAGCAGAGAATGGAACGCGCACAGTGTACGACCTGGGATGCACCATCTTTCCTCCCTTTGATTAACTCGGGCTTCCCATTTCCAATGTTCTCTTCCTACCAGCTCTTACTGTCCCCAGCCGACCTTATAATGGAAGTAGTAGAGCCTTGTTTCGAGAGGCTCATGAAGGATACTATGACTCATGTAAATGCCTTGTCTGAAGAACTCTAGGACTTTTTGTGAGGCTATGAC